ACATACGAAACACCTAAGCACATAATTATAAGTACAGAAATATTAATCTACTGAAGACTAGACTATAGACTAGACTATAGACTAGACTATAGACTAGACTATAGACTAGACTATAGACTAGACTATAGACTAGACTATAGACTAGACTATAGACTAGACTATAGACTAGACTATAGACTAGACTATAGACTAGACTATAGACTAGACTATAGACTAGACTATAGACTAGACTATAGACTAGACTATAGACTAGACTATAGACTAGACTATAGACTAGACTATAGACTAGACTATAGACTAGACTATAGACTAGACTATAGACTAGACTATAGACTAGACTATAGACTAGACTATAGACTAGACTATAGACTAGACTATAGACTAGACTATAGACTAGACTATAGACTAGACTATAGACTTAGACTATAGACTAGACTATAGACTAGACTAGACTAGACTATAGACTAGACTATGACTAGACTATAGACTAGACTATAGACTAGACTATAGACTTGACTATAGACTTGACTATAGACTTGACTATAGACTTGACTATAGACTTGACTATAGACTTGACTATAGACTACTAGACTAGACTATAGACTAGACTATAGACTAGACTATAGACTAGACTATAGACTAGACTATAGACTAGACTATAGACTAGACTATAGACTAGACTATAGACTAGCTATAGACTAGACTATAGACTAGACTATAGACTAGACTATAGACTAGACTATAGACTAGACTATAGACTAGACTAGACTAGACTATAGACTAGACTATAGACTAGACTATAGACTAGACTATAGACTAGACTATAGACTAGACTATAGACTAGACTATAGACTAGACTATAGACTAGACTATAGACTAGACTATAGACTAGACTATAGACTAGACTATAGACTAGACTATAGACTAGACTATAGACTAGACTATAGACTAGACTATAGACTAGACTATAGACTAGACTATAGACTAGACTATAGACTAGACTATAGACTAGACTATAGACTAGACTATAGACTAGACTATAGACTAGACTATAGACTAGACTATAGACTAGACTATAGACTAGACTATAGACTAGACTATAGACTAGACTATAGACTAGACTATAGACTAGACTATAGACTAGACTATAGACTAGACTATAGACTAGACTATAGACTAGACTATAGACTAGACTATAGACTAGACTATAGACTAGACTATAGACTAGACTATAGACTAGACTATAGACTAGACTATAGACTAGACTATAGACTAGACTATAGACTAGACTATAGACTAGACTATAGACTAGACTATAGACTAGACTATAGACTAGACTATAGACTAGACTATAGACTAGACTATAGACTAGACTATAGACTAGACTATAGACTAGACTATAGACTAGACTATAGACTAGACTATAGACTAGACTATAGACTAGACTATAGACTAGACTATAGACTAGACTATAGACTAGACTATAGACTAGACTATAGACTAGACTATAGACTAGACTATAGACTAGACTATAGACTAGACTATAGACTAGACTATAGACTAGACTATAGACTAGACTATAGACTAGACTAGACTAGACTATAGACTAGACTATAGACTAGACTATAGCTAGACTATAGACTAGACTATAGACTAGACTATAGACTAGACTATAGACTAGACTATAGACTAGACTATAGACTAGACTATAGACTAGACTATAGACTAGACTATAGACTAGACTATAGACTAGACTATAGACTAGACTATAGACTAGACTATAGACTAGACTATAGACTAGACTATAGACTAGACTATAGACTAGACTATAGACTAGACTATAGACTAGACTATAGACTAGACTATAGACTAACTATAGACTAGACTATAGACTAGACTATAGACTAGACTATAGACTAGACTATAGACTAGACTATAGACTAGACTATAGACTAACTATAGACTAGACTATAGACTAGACTATAGACTAGACTATAGACTAGACTATAGACTAGACTATAGACTAGACTATAGACTAGACTAGACAGACTAGACTATAGACTAGCTATAGACTAAGACTATAGACTAGACTATAGACTAGACTATAGACTAGACTATAGACTAGAAGATAGACTAGAATATAGACTAGACTATAGACTAGACTATAGACTAGACTATAGACGAGACTATAGACTAGACTATAGACTAGACTATAGACTAGACTATAGACTAGACTATAGACTAGACTATAGACTAGACTATAGACTAGACTGTGGACTTTAAATTAGACTATAGAAAGATTTTCCTTCGATAATCTCTGATCAGTAGTGTACTTAGTGTATTGAACACAAGTGTAGCTTTCCAGCACTTAATTCCAACATGCAAACAAACAAGGCTACAACAAGGTGGCTTTAAAGTAACAACTACATACAATATACAAACACTATACTAATAAGAACAAAGAAAAAAGAAAATAAAATGACAAAAAGAATTAAACTGATACAACACAAACAAGAACAACAAAAATGACAATGGTAACAACAAAACAGCATTTAAGATTAACATGATAATACAGCAAAACAACAAACGTACAAATTTCTTATTACACACTTTTCCATTGTCTACTATGTATGGATATTGTGAGAGTGTAAAGTAAAAATGAAGGAAAACAATTGCATATTTACAGGGAGGTGTTGTAAGTGTGTGTTGGGGTAAATAACACACATTCTCTTACTTACAGACGTATACGAACAACAACATAGTCCTGACATTTATGTCAACAACAACATTTTACTATAAATTCTAAAAGAAGTTATGGTTGTTTCTTCGACAAAGCCTTAACGAGACCAAGCTTAAGATTGAAGCAAGAGAGATTTAGGATCAACATAGTTTTGGTAAGAGAGAATAAATTTCTTTTAAGGCTTTTTTATATTTTGAACTAACAAATGTCATCAGAACAATGACGAGGAATTTCAAACTGTAATTTTCTCGTTTGTACAAAATAAAGGCAGAGATCGAGGTCACTGTTGCTCTCGACGTAATTAATGTCAACTTACTGCTTAAAAAACTTAAAAGTCCAGAAATTCCAAAAATTTTTTAAAATCTGTTTTTGATTTATTATTTAGTTTGGTCCCATTACTCTCTCCTCCCTTGTGGTCTGGTGACAGCAACAAGAAAAGACTAACAAGCTCATTTGTCGCATGAGTATAAAAGTTATTATTTTTGTTAAGCTAAATGTTGAATACTAAATTAAGTTACTTGTGCTCACACTCACATACACTTAGCCAACAACAATAAACTTTTGCTCCCTCTCATACACACACAAACACCTATACTCCACAGGAAACACTTACCCCTAATACAACACAAAAATATACACAAATATATTTTCCTTAAACTGTTGGTTTTGGTTCCTTAAAATTTCTATTTAGCAACTCAACTCATTCTGATTGTCATTATATCTGTCTGACTGTTGGTAGATGAGTCGGTGTTTATCTTATGGCGTTTTTTGAATGTGAATGTGGTTTTAACACACGCACATTAAAACCAAATCAAGCATATCCAATCTTGGACTCGCCTACGCCAATGATTTACACTGCCCTACTATGAGCACTTTGTGTTAAATCAATAAATTTTAACTTTTTAACATGGCTGTTACAATCATCAAAACAAACCAGTAATACCATCCCTCTAATACATAAGTGTAGGGTATCAAAAAGAAAACACCATTCTTATCAATTTTCAAGATTTTTTGCTTGTGTATTGTCATTATGATTATTATAATTATTTCCCTCAAACTATTATAATTGCAACAATACAAAGCTTAATTTGGTGAATTGTGTAAAAACACAAACAAAAAAGGAGTTAATATTTCTATGAGGTATAAATAAAAGTAGGAGGCTGTGGTTTGCTATCAGCAGCGTAAATTTACGTTTGTAAAATTTGTATGTAAAACCACTGGTTGGTTCTTTCTTTAGGGTAATTAAAATATTTAAGATAACAAATTAATGGACAAACAACGTTACCGTTATAAATTATGTTGTCTCGTTAAAATTGTTGTATTTAATGTGTTGGAATTTAATGAGTTAATAAGAAATAAAGAGATACTGAACTACAACTGAACTACAACTGAACTAGATCTGAACAAGAACTGAAGTAGGACTGAACTAGAACTGAACTAAAACTGAACTAGAACTTTACTACAACTGAACTAGAACTGAACTAGAACTGAACTAGAACTGAACTAGAAATGAACTAGAACGAATGAACTAGAACTGAACTAGAACTGAACTAGAACTGACTAGAACTGAACTAGAACTGAACTAGAACTGAACTAGAACTGAACTAGAACTGAACTAGAACTGAACTAGAACTGAACTAGAAACTGAACTAGAACTGAACTAGAACTGAACTAGAACTGAACTACAACTGAACTAGAAACTGAACTAGAACTGAATAGAACTAACTAGAACTGAACTAGAACTGAACTAGAACTGAACTAGAACTGAACTAGAACTGAACTAGAACTGAACTAGAACTGAACTAGAACTGAACTAGAACTGAACTAGAACTGAACTAGAACTGAACTGCAACTAGAACTGAACTAGAACTGAACAGAACTGAACTAGAACTGAACTAGAACTGAACTAGAACTGAACTAGAACTGAACTAGAACTGAACTAGAACTGAACTAGAACTGAACTAGAATGAACTAGAACTGAACTAGAAAAGAACTAGAATGCACTAGAACTGAACTAGAACTGAACTAGAACGAACTAGAGAACTGAACTAGAAACTGAACTAGAACTGAACTAGAACTGAACTAGAACTGAACTAGAACTGAACTAGAACTGAACTAGAACTGAACTAGAACTGAACTAGACTGAACTAGAACTGAATTTAAGTTATAACGAACAAAATTAAAAGATATATAATTCAGTATTAAGGGTTTTTTGAAATTATATAGTACCAAATAAAAACACATTCAAAAATTTAAGTAGCAAAACGAAAGAAACCTTTATTTCTTACGAGTTACAATTATTTATCGTAATCATTTAAAAATCTAAATATATATGTAAATAAATCTGAAAATATATCATTAAATTAAATTGTAATATTAACTGAACGTTTTATAGAGAATATATTCAAACGATGCCCTAGAGGAAATCGAATGAACAATCAGCAAATCATGATGTTAATAAATAAGTTTAAAAATAATTGAACACGAAGAATAAAGTCTTATCGTAGTAAAATTAATCTTGTTCAGAACAATTATTTGGAGAGTTAAGTTCTTCTGGAGTTTGAGTAACAACAGCAACTTCTTCTGTTACTACAGAGGTCTCGAGAGTTTTTAATTGCTCACTAGCATTTGTGGGACACTCTTTGGAATCGGAAAGATTTTCATTATTTTCAGGCATTTTATGCTCTTCATATCTAGCAATATCTTCTTTCATGCTAGAGGCTTCTAAATCATTTTCAAATTCTTTCGCTTTTTCCTCAGTTATTTCCGGTTTAGTTGTTTGTTCCTGACCTGGGAAGGGCAATGATTGCAAACGTCTTACCATATCTTCCAAAGATTCATTTGCATTATCATTGGTCTTATTTTCCGATTTCTGTAATCTAGCGGATTTGGGACGTGCGGCCAGTAACTGTAAAGTGGGTTTAGATTTGGGAATGGCACCCTGATGGGCGGCTATTTGACTTGGTATAGTGGTTATGGTTACCCTTTCATTGAGCTCCTCGGATACAATACTAGAGCAAGCCACATTTTTTGGTGTGGGTAAAAGCGCTGCCGCTACAGGCGTTTCGTCAGAGGTAGAATTTTCATTTACAACTTTAGCTGAGGTAGAGCTATCATTATCTAAGGAACTGTCCCTATTGGGGGTAGAGGAGGCACGCTTCTGGCGGTTGAGTTCTCTTTCAGCAATTCTATTGATCATTTTGGTACCCTTTTCGGAGGTTTCCGATAGCCTGTTGATTAGCAGGCGTCCCTCTTCTTCTAAAATGCGCAAACGTTCTTCACGATTAGAGGAGATTTTCTCTATATTTTCAATTCTTTGTTCCACCGACATTTTGCCGGGAGTTGAAGTAGTGTTCGTTGATTGTGAGGAAGTTGTTGCTATAGCTGGAGTTTGTTGAGAACTACTGGAACTGGTGGGTTCTTCTTGAGATTTATAACGTTCATGTAGAGTATCAAGTTTAGTTCCGATATTATCACCTCTTTGATTATTTTTGGAGAGCTTGGTTAACAATTGCTTGCTTTCTTCTTCAAGTCTTTGCAAACGGGCCGCACGACGTTGTGTATAGGCTTCTTCTTCGGCTGTTAAAGGACTTGGTTTATTATTTAGATTTTCCGATTGTGAGTTATCTTGGGAGTTGGATTCAGTGCTAGAAATTGGTTCTTCCTCTTCTCCGGGCTTGCGGACATCGTCTTCAGTATTACTTTCTAAGCTGCCCTCACGACTGAGAGGAGCTCTTCTTATACGATCCAAGGAGCAACGCAAATAATGACCTCTATCAGAGGTGCGTTTAATGCGTGACATTAATTGGCGACTCTCTTCTTCTAATCTTTCCAAACGTTCCGAACGTTTGCGCGTATATTCCTCTTCCCGCGGAGTTAGAGAGCCTGAACCGGTAATTGGCACTGAACTAGCACGAGTCATACGTTCGAAACGTTTCTTATTTATAAGTTCTTCCAAAGGAACGGCATGTTGCACTGGAGATATTTCATCTTGAAAACGTTTAAGTTGCACTTCCAAACGCTCACGATTATCGGATGTTTCCAATACCTGTTTTATCAAGGTTTTACATTGTTGTTCAAGCTTTTGAATTCTGCAGGCTCTGTCATCAGCAGGCTCAGCTTCAGCTATAGGTTTATCATCAGTATCTAAGCGTTCAGCGCTGCGGCGTTTAGGACGTCTAGAAGGCCTATTGGGTGCCTTTGGTATAGCTCCCCTCTCCGAGGAAGTGTTAGAGGAAGAAGCTATACCTTCTACTTCGTCGTCTTCATCTTCCTCTAAGCCACCACTATCCCTCCAACCGCAGGTGGGAGGAGCACTATTCCAACGCAATACTACAATTTCAGGTTGCATCGGATTACCAGCCCTGCCAGGCGAAGTACTTTGCATACGTTTGATTTTACGAGTATGTTCAAACATTTCCCTCAAACGTTTGCGTCTATAATTAACGCAACCACCAGCAGCTGTACTGGCTGCCAAAGCACCCTCCTGCTCTAAATCATCAACTTCAATATCCGCATCTCCAGCAACACCATCAACAACATCTTGTCCCACTACCACCACAACTTCCTCATCCGAAGCTGGGCCACCCGAATCACTGTAACCACTTTCAGCCGAATTATTGGCATCCTCCAATTTACGCCTGGCAAATTCACGTCGTAAATCATTACATTGCTCTTGACTTTCATCATTTTTGGCACGTGCAGCCGCCCATTTGCGACGACAATACTCCAGCTCATCCTTGAGTTCACTGAGCAAACGACGCTTTTGTTGCAGCTGATAGCGTAAGATTTGCTCTTGTGTATGTAATTGACGGTGTTGACGTTGCATTTTACCAACCAAATGCCAAGTTTTTGTCAATTCCAAACTAACAGCACTCAAGCGTTTTTCTTGTTCGTTGAGACGATAATCCAAATGACTGTTTAAGGTTTTCAGGCGATTGGTTTCTTTAACTAAAGACTTTTTCTCCAATATAAGATCCTGGAAATGTTGTTGTTGTCGTTGTTGTATTCAGTTTATGGTTATTGATAGTTAATAAATCATATTTTGTTGTTTTCGTAATAGCAGAGTCCATCATCATGACCATTGTGCATGAGATGATGAGATGTATGAAAAGAGAAGAAAAAGGAAAAAGTAAATTGATTAGTTTTTGCGAAAAAAAATGTTCTTGCATGTTTGTTGTTAGTTTTTTTTTTTTTTAATTTTAAGGCAACCTTTTTTAGTTTTATTCTAAAAACTGCAAAAAGTCTTAATTTCCCCTGTAGCCAATCGCATCTTTAAACCTAATCAACTGCTAACAGCTACCAACAGAAAAAAATATACAAAAACATTATTGAATACAAATTCCAACATTTAACTAAATATAATGGTCATCAACTCTTCAAAAAATAATCCATTATTTAATACAAATTCTTTAGAGAATCAAAAGAAATGTAGAGAACCTTAAGATAAATATATAACCCTAATTTTTTTATTTCCTCCAGGAATAAACATAAAACCTTCAATATCATTACATTAATACTAATCTAACCTTCAACATAATGTTTGCTAACTTCCTAAACTAACTCCTACTCCCCTCCACACAACAAAAACAACACAAATTCTGTCAATAATATTAAACTAACTGCGTGAGAGGGAGTCTGTAGTAGTAACCGCAATATTTCGACATTATTTTACCATTTACTTCCTCAATTTTGTTTTATATCTTCTAGTATTTGAACATTATACAATATACGTTTTTCTATTTTCTTTATTTTTTCCACAAACATAAATATTCTTGTCAGGAGGTGGTGAAAACCCAACGGAGATAGACAATAAATTCAATTACCAGCTAGAGTTAGAGCAAGTAACACAGCAGCAACAAAAATACTACAAAATTTTGGAGAAAAAAAAATAACAAAAAAGCCACAACAAACTTTACAGTTTCTTACTTAAAGTAAAGTAAGAAATTTTACAATAACAGGATAACAGAGGGCAGGCAACAAACATGCAGCAGACAACACAATATAAGCAAGGACTCATATAAAAAAAAAAATATTGTTATAAGTATCCTACGCAAGCATCACTTTTATAGCAATACTGGTAAAATTATAACAAAGTTAATATGAGCAGCTTGTCAGTTGAGGAGAGCACAGGAATATCACGAAAAAAGTAACAACATACTTCAAGTCTTTAGACTTAAGCAGGAAAATGATGAGTTAATATGTGAAGTGAAGAACTTTTTTATTGTTGCCATTTTTTACGACTTCTTCGTAGTTTACAAAAAGATAAAGTGAAGAAATTTACTCAGCTACTGTAAGTGGGTGGTATTTGATATGACATTGTTTTGCAAGGACAATTTTTTAAGGCAATACAACTGGAGAAATTTGCACCAGTATATACTATTGTCTAGTCTATATTGTAGGTTATATTCTAGTGTATAGTGAAGGCTATAGTCTAGCCTATAGTGTGGGCTACATTCCAGTCTATATTCTAGTGTATAGTGTAGGCTATAGTCTATCCTATAGTGTAGGCTAGTATACAGTCTAGTCTATAGGCTAGTCTATAGTCTAGTCTATAGGTCTAGTCTATAGGCTAGTCTATAGTCTATAGGCTAGTCTATAGTCTAGTCTATAGTCTAGTCTATAGGTTAATCTATAGTCTAGTCTATATGCTAGTCTATAGTCTAGTCTATAGGCTAGTCTATAGTCTAATCTATAGGCTAGTCTATAGTCTAGTCTATAGGCTAGTCTATAGGCTAGTCTATAGGCTAGGCTATAGTCTAATCTATAGTCTACTCTATAGTCTAGTCTACAGTCTAGTCTATAGTCCAGTCTATAGTCTAGTCTATAAGCTAGTCTATAGTCTAATCTATAGTCTAGTCTATAGGCTAGTCTATAGTCTAATCTATAGTCTAGTCTATAGGCTAGTCTATAGTCTAATCTATAGTCTAGTCTATAGGCTAGTCTATAGTCTAATCTATAGTCTAGTCTATAGTCTAGTCTATGGTCTAGTCTATAGTCTAGTCTATAGTCTAATCTATAGTCTAGTCTATAGTCTAGTCTATAGTCTAGTCTATAGTCTATTCTACAATCTAGTCTATAGTCTAGTCTATAGTCTAGTCTATAGTCTAGTCTATAGTCTAGTCTATAGTCTAGTCTATAGTCTAGTCTATACTCTAGTCTATAGTCTAGTCTATAGTCTAGTCTATAGTCTAGTCTATAGTCTAGTCTATAGTCTAGTCTATAGTCTAGTCTATAGTCTAGTCTATAGTCTATTCTACAATCTAGTCTATAGTCTAGTCTATAGTCTAGTCTATAGTCTAGTCTATAATCTAGTCTATAGTCTAGTCTATAGTCTAGTCTATAGTCTAGTCTATAGTCTAGTCTATAGTCTAGTTATAGTCTCTATAGTTGTCTATAGTCTAGTCTATAGTCTAGTCTATAGTCTAGTCTATAGTCTAGTCTATAGTCTAGTCTATAGTCTAGTCTATAGTCTAGTCTATAGTCTAGTCTATAGTCTAGTCTATAGTCTAGTCTATAGTCTAGTCTATAGTCTAGTCTATAGTCTAGTCTATAGTCTAGTCTATAGTCTAGTCTATAGTCTAGTATAGTCTATAGTCTAGTCTATAGTCTAGTCTCTAGTCTAGTCTATAGTCTAGTATATAGTCTAGTCTATAGTCTAGTCTATAGTCTAGTCTATAGTCTAGTCTATAGTCTAGTCTATAGTCTAGTCTATAGTCTAGTCTATAGTCTAGTCTATAGTCTAGTCTATAGTCTAGTCTATAGTCTAGTCTATAGTCTAGTCTATAGTCTAGTCTATAGTCTAGTCTATAGTCTAGTCTAGTCTAGTCTATAGTCTAGTCTATAGTCTAGTCTATAGTCTAGTCTATAGTCTAGTCTATAGTCTAGTCTATAGTCTAGTCTATAGTCTAGTCTATAGTCTAGTCTATAGTCTAGTCTATAGTCTAGTCTATAGTCTAGTCTATAGTCTAGTCTATAGTCTAGTCTATAGTCTAGTCTATAGTCTAGTCTATAGTCTAGTCTATAGTCTAGTCTATAGTCTAGTCTATAGTCTAGTCTATAGTCTAGTCTATAGTCTAGTCTATAGTCTAGTCTATAGTCTAGTCTATAGTCTAGTCTATAGTCTAGTCTATAGTCTAGTCTATAGTCTAGTCTATAGTCTAGTCTATAGTCTAGTCTATAGTCTAGTCTATAGTCTAGTCTATAGTCTAGTCTATAGTCTAGTCTATAGTCTAGTCTATAGTCTAGTCTATAGTCTAGTCTATAGTCTAGTCTATAGTCTAGTCTATAGTCTAGTCTATAGTCTAGTCTATAGTCTAGTCTATAGTCTAGTCTATAGTCTAGTCTATAGTCTAGTCTATAGTCTAGTCTAGTCTATAGTCTAGTCTATAGTCTAGTCTATAGTCTAGTCTATAGTCTAGTCTATAGTCTAGTCTATAGTCTAGTCTAGTCTAGTCTATAGTCTAGTCTATAGTCTAGTCTATAGTCTAGTCTATAGTCTAGTCTATAGTCTAGTCTATAGTCTAGTCTATAGTCTAGTCTATAGTCTAGTCTATAGTCTAGTCTATAGTCTAGTCTATAGTCTAGTCTATAGTCTAGTCTATAGTCTAGTCTATAGTCTAGTCTATAGTCTAGTCTATAGTCTAGTCTTTAGTCTGGTCTATAGTCTAGTCTATAGTCTAGTCTATAGTCTAGTCTATAGTCTAGTCTATAGTCTAGTCTTTAGTCTAGTCTATAGTCTAGTCTATAGTCTAGTCTATAGTCTAGTCTAGTCTAGTCTATAGTCAGTCTATAGTCTAGTCTATAGTCTAGTCTATAGTCTAGTCTATAGTCTAGTCTATAGTCTAGTCTATAGTCTAGTCTATAGTCTAGTCTATAGTCTAGTCTATAGTCTAGTCTATAGTCTAGTCTATAGTCTAGTCTATAGTCTAGTCTATAGTCTAGTCTATAGTCTAGTCTATAGTCTAGTCTATAGTCTAGTCTATAGTCTAGTCTATAGTCTAGCCCATAGTCTAGTCTATAGTCTAATCTATAGTCTAGTCTATAGTCTAATCTATAGTCTAGTCTATAGTCTAGTCTAGAGTCTATTCTATAGTCTAATCTATAGTCTAGTCTATAGTCTAGTCTAGACTATAGTCTAGACTATAGTCTAGTCTATAGTCTAGTCTATAGTCTAGTCTATAGTCTAGTCTATAGTCTAGTCTATAGTCTAGTCTATAGTCTAGTCTATAGTATAGTCTATAGTCTAGTATATAGTCTAGTCTATAGTCTAGTCCATATTCTAGGCTTCTAGTTCATAGTTTAGTCATTATTCAATTTTTTGTATAATCCGTAGTCTTGATTGTGGTATAATATTTATTTTTAGCCGACTATGTATATGTAGTCCATTATATAGTTTGAGTTAAGCTTAATTCTATTATTCAGTTAAGTTATTTAATTTAGTGCAAATTTTTGTTAAGTATCCGTTTTTAGAAAAACTTACCTTCAATTTAATATACGTCTTGCTAACACTTAATTCGGCTTTGGGGCCATTTGGTGTCTCCACCGACTTATAGCAATCTTCACCTTTGCCATTTTCCTCAAATTGTACCGGATCAATTTTGTGATGACTTAAGAGTTCCATTAAGACACGCCAGACCTTGGGTAAGTTACCAGCAATTTCCTGAGCCGATGTCGCTTTACCAATAACTTCAGCAGCATACAATTGTTGCATTGTTGAGTGGGCAGCTGAGGCTGATGAAGATTTTCTATTGTTGGTTGCTGCTGTTTTACGATGATGTTTTTTGGTTTTATTCTGTGTCGTAACAATAAGTTTTTCATCAGTATTAGTTTTTGCAACATCATCATACCCATGAGTCAATGATGGCTGTGAGTGAGCAGGTGTTTTGTTGTCGGTACATGTCGTTGAGGCTGCTGCTGTTTCTTCTGATGGCATTTCATCTTGTTGCAATTGTTTAACATTTGATGTTAATGATGTCATATTTTCATTATCATTTCCATTTTCTGCAACATTATCGTCATCATCTTCCTCATCGTCGTCATCCTCCATTGCAGCTCCCTGGGGTTTATGACACAATTTAGTGGCGTCTGCCACTAATCCAGCTTCATGACTGGGTGTTGGACTACGACTGTGTTGCAATGATGTCGTAGTAGTCTTTTTGTTGCCATCTTGTGTTGATGTCGTTGTTGTTGCTGTTGTTGCCTGCTCTACTAATTCGAATAATAATTTTGGCAAAGTTGCACCATCCGTACACTCCTTGGTTGCCATGTCATTTAACAATGTACGATTTTCCTCCAACATGGTTGTCAGTCTATCGATATCTAAATTGTTTTTACCATTAAAACCCATCACCATTTGACTGAAGAGCTAAAAGGGTTCAAAAATAAAGAACCAGTGGAAAGAAGAAGTAAAAAAAAAACATTATTTGATGAAGAAAATTCAAATAAAATGTATATGGGCAAAAAAAAAAGGATAAATAGGAGGGCAGACCAATTTGTGTTTTTTATATAGAGTTTTACGAAACTGTTACTGAAGAGTAGATGGAACGTTTATCGGGTTTTTTTGTTTCCATTTAATCTATGTAGTGGTAGTTTGTTCGTATGTGTTTTAGTGTATTGTAGTTTACTTTATGTTTTGTGTTTATTCATGCAACCAAACGTCCATCTATTCACTCATTCAGTCACTTATCCATCCATCCATTGAAACTCTCTCTTTGCTTGATTAGCTTTTCTGGATAGATTATATTCGAGAAAAAAATTAATGATTTTATTTTCTCTGCATTAAGTCTAGTAATTAATTTAAGTTTTAATCGATTTTTTTGCTAATTAACAAACACCTATTTTCCCTTTAATTCTCCCCTTTTCCCTTTTATTCTCCCCTTAATTTGTGTCGGTTTAAGATATTTTCATAAGTTTATTAATTCCATTCATAATTTTTCAATTACTAAGTATGTACTTTAAAATTTATTACAAAAAAACATATACTTTATAAAAGGTAACAGTAATAACACACTACAATAATACAATCATACACTCGAAACAAGTTAGAGTGCTATATTCGGCTGAGCCGAATTTTAAATACCCTCCACCAGCAACTTTTGTATTAATACATTTCTAATTAATAAAATATTTGTAGAAATAAGTTTTCTCATGTCTTAAATAGAAAAATCCCAAGATTTAAACAACTTAAATCTACTACAATTCCAAGATTTATTGAACATTAGAAACGCCACTTTCATTTAAATTTTTATAGCGCCCTAAGATATGCTTTAGCGATATCTCGTATTTGCATGTATGCATGTGTGTGAAAGATTTAAGGATTTTAAAAATACATACATATATATAATTTTGTTCTACACAAATTGATAATGCAAATAGTTAAATACGGTTAAAGCGCTTTTAGGGGCAGGACCTAGTATGAGAGATATGACCAAATATAGACCGATCGTGAAAAATTTTTGAAATAGCATTAAGTGCTTTTTGCATTACAAAATAGTATTTATGAACAAAAATAGTATTTATTTATATCATTATTTGGTAATGAGTTATGTGCCTTTAAGTATTTTTCTGAAAGGGACCTGTATGGGAGCTATGATCAATTATGGATCGATAGGAAAACAATTTCACAGTAATATTTCTCTGTATATGAGCAATATTTTTGCCAAACTTTATATGGATATCTTAATTTAGTAATGAGTTATGTGCGTTTAAGTGATTTTCGGGAGGGGACCTTGTATGGGAGCTATGACCAGTTATGGACCGATCGGAAAAAAAATTATCTGTAATATTTCTGTGCATATGAGTAATATTTGTACCATATGGATATCTTAATTACGTAATGAGTTATGCGCGTTTAAGTGATTTTCGGGAGGGGACCTTGTATGGGAGCTATGACCAATTATGGACCGATCGAAAAAAATTTTCACAGTATTATTTCTGTGCATATGAGTAATACTTGTGCCAAATTTTATATTGATATCTTAATTTAGTAATGAGTTATGCGCGTTTAAGTGATTTTCGGGAGGGGACCTTGTATGGGAGCTATGACCAATTATGGACCGATCGGAAAAAAATTTCACAGTAATATTTCTGTGCATATGAGTAATACTTTTACCAAACCTAATATGGATATATTAATTTAGTGATGTGTTATGCGCGTTTAAGTGATTTTCGAGAGGGGACCTTGTATGGGAGCTATGACCAATTGTGGACCGATTGGAAAAAAATTTCACAGTAATATTTCTATGCATATGGGCAATACCTACACCAAATTTTATTTGGATATCTTAATTTAGTAATGAGTTATGCGCGTTTAAGTGATTTTCGGGAGGGGACCTTGTATGGGAGCTATGATCAATTATGGACCGATCGGAAAAAAATTTCACAACAAAATTTCTGTGTATATGAGTAATATCTTAATTTAGTACTGAGTTATGCGCGTTTAAGTGATTTTCGGGAGGGGACCTTGTATGGGAGCTATGACCAATTATGGACCGATCGGAAAAAACTTTCACAGTAATATTTCTATGCATATGGGCAATACCTACACCAAATTTTATTTGGATATCTTAATTTAGTAATGAGTTATGCGCGTTTAAGTGATTTTCGGGAGGGGACCTTGTATGGGAGCTATGATCAATTATGGACCGATCGGAAAAAAATTTCACAACAATATTTCTGTGCATATGAGTAATATTTGTACCAAATTTTATATGGATATCTTAATTTAGTTATGAGTTAAGCGCGTTTAAGTGATTTTCGGGAGGGGACCTTGTATGGGAGCTATGACCAATTATGGACCGATCGGAAAAAAATCACAGTAGTATTTCTATGCATATGGGTAATACTTATACCAAATTTTATTTGGATATCATAATTTAGTAATGAGTTATGAGCGTTTAAGTGATTTTCGGGAGGGACCTTGTATGGGTGCTATGTCCAATTATGGACCGATCCATAAAGTTTTTCCTCTGAAAGAATTCTATTGACATAAGATTTTAATTTGTAAAATTTTGTGAAGATATCGACATTGTGGCGGAAGTTATTAACAAAAAACCCATTTTCCGGGAATATGTACTTTTGTATGGGAGGTATATGAAATTGTGGACCGATTCTGGCAATTTTCAGAAGGGTCAAGATCTTGTGCAGAAACGAATGTATGGTGATTTCCATGGAATTATCTTGCATAGTTTTCGAGAAAACTACATCAGAATGTGTAAAAAATGCTTACTTTTTTCCGAGGTTGTTTTAAATTTTGATTCATAACTTTTCCCGGTGTGAACCGATTTTGCCCATTTGCAATACCAAACAACTTAGGAAAATGAAGAACATTTTGGGTGAATTTGGTTAAGCTCTATTGCTTCGTTTTATCGTGAGCGTGTTTTACACAGACAGACGGACATAGCTAAATCGACTCAGAATTTGATAAGGACCCAGAATATATATACTTTGTTGGGTCTCAGATGAATATTTCTTGGTGTTACACACGGAATGACAAAGTTATATATACCCTCTATCACCACTGATGGTGGTGGAGGGTATAATAAAAAACTTTACTATATACAAAGAAATAAAGAATGCCCTACAGCCGACAAGAGGTATTGTATTTGGTCGATTAAAAATGTCACTACCGGGCTGGATAATTGAAGTCTTGAAATAGTTTAGTTTTTAAAGTACTTAATTATTCTTACGCTAGAATTACACTACAGACTAGACTATAGACTTAACCACAGACTGCAATACAGACAAGACCAGACTGTAAACAATAGAATAGACTAGAGTATAGACAAAAATATAGACAAAACAGTATACTGGAATATAGATTAGACTATAGACTAGACTATAGAGTAGACTATAGACTAGACTATAGAGTAGACTATAGACTAGACTATAGACTAGACTTTAGACTAGACTATAGACTAGACTATAGACTAGACTAGACTAGAGACTAGACTGTAGACTAGAGTATAGACTAAACTATAAACTAGACTATAGACTAGACTAGACTATAGACTAGACTATAGACTAGACTATAGACTAGACTATAGACTAGACTATAGACTAGACTATAGACTAGACTAGACTATAGACTAGACTATAGACTAGACTATAGACTAGACTATAGACTAGACTATAGACTAGACTATAGACTAGACTATGGACTAGACTATAGACTAGACTATAGACTAGACTATAGACTAGACTGTAGACTAGACTATAGACTAGACTATAGACTAGACTATAGACTAGACTATAGACTAGACTATAGACTAGACTATAGACTAGACTATAGACTAGACTATAGACTAGACTATAGACTAGACTATAGACTACACTATAGACTAGACTATAGACTAGACTATAGACTAGATAGACTAGACTATAGACTAGACTATAGACTAGACTATAGACTAGACTATAGACTAGACTATAGACCTAGACTAGAGACTAGACTATAGACTAGACTATAGACTAGACTATAGACTAGACTAGTAGACTAGACTATAGACTAGACTATAGACTACTAAGACGACTATAAACTAGACTATCGACTAAGACTATAGACTAGACTATAGACTAGCTAGACTAGACTATAGACTAGACATACTAGACCTATAGACTCTAGACTATAGACGAACTATAACTAGACTATAGACTAGACTAATAGAACTAGCTATAGACTAAGACTATAGACTTAGACTATAGACTAGACTAATAAGACGAGACTTAGACTAGACTAAGACTACTAGACTAGAATATAGACAGACGATACTGACTATAGACTAGATATAGACTTAGACTATAGACTAGACTAGAGACTAGACTATAGACTAGACTATAGACTAGACTATAGACTAGACTATAGACTAGACTATAGACTAGACAATAGACCTAGAACTATAGACTAAGACTAGAGTAATACTAGACTAAGACTAGAGTATAGACTTGACTATAGACTTAGACCTAAGACTAGACTATAGACTAGACTATAGACTAGACTATAGACTAGACTATAGACTAGACTATAGACTGAACTATAGACTAGACTATAGACTAGACTATAGGCTAGATTATAGACTAGACTATATGCTGGGCTATAGACTAGACTATGACTAGACTATAGAGTAGACTATAGACTAGACTATAGACTAGACTATAGACTAGACTATAGACTAGACTATAGACTAGACTATAGACTAGACTATAGACTTGACTATAGACTAGACTATAGACTAGACTATAGACTAGACTATAGACTAGACTATAGACTAGACTATAGACTAGACTATAGACTAGACTATAGACTAGACTATAGACTAGACTATAGACTAGACTATAGACTAGACTATAGACTAGACTATAGACTAG